GGTAATTTTGATGAGTACCTCTTCCAGGACATTCGCCCACTGAAGCCCGTCCCTCAAAACGGTAAACCAAACTCCTAATCATGATGGTTGTGGGAGCTGATCTTGAATTAAAATATTGATCGTTGACAAGAATATAAACATTCGATAATTTTAATACATTGTTGTATTTATACTATAAGTATCCATTATAAATTTCCAAGAATGTGATTATAACTTGCAAAAAGAACAATACAATTATATTAAAATATAAAATAGTTATTCCTGTTTAACATTTGTAGGTATCATTTGGCTCACCCTGTATTTAAACGAACATTTCCCGCCATATCGAGTTTGAAACAGATGCTCAATTTTCGTTAAAATGCATCGCATAACAATGGGACGTAGTGACTAGATAAATAAATGATGTGTAGCTGTACACATATCCATATGTACTTATATAAATACATATACAAACAAACATACGTACGTAAGTTCGTGCACACGATATGTGTGACTGTGTGTAAGTTGTCAAAAATTTCCCCCAAAGTTAGTCAATAAACTGCTCTCCAATATGGCGGCTGCGTGCACTGACCGCTGCGTGGGTCCTCAGGGACAATCAGCAGCGAGCATTCAATGTATGCGTGGAATTGCTAAACATTTAAAGCACTTCGAGGTAAAGTAAACAGATGTGTGCTTTTGTGTGGGTGCGTTTTTTTTTTATGTAGAGCAAGTGCTCCACCATAGCAAATAATTTCGAAAATGAAAATGTTTTTAGTGGTCCGATATTTGCAACTGCAATGGATATGGTAATAGTCCCTATTTAAATAAATTAAACTGAAATAATAATACAAGAACATTTTAATAACTTTCCAACAAATTTTACGACTGAATGTCCCATAAAAAGTGTTATTTAAAATGCAAAGGGTTGAAAAGTTAGCTTCTTTTTTTAAGGGAGCATTTAAATTTCAAGCAATAACAGAGATTGACTATATAACGTTATTTATTTAAAATGCAAATTTAAACGAAACGCAAAAAAAAATTTAAAGTTTCCTTCTGTGCTACGGAAAGATCAGTTTGAGGAGGACTTGGCTCAATCGATATTTCAAATTGGCGTAAGTTGGCACAGAAAAATAAACGAGTGGCGTGCTTTATTGGACTTGGTACCAGACTTTTTATACCCGAGCGCACTTGTGCACAAGGGTATATTAATTTTGTTCACATAACGGTTGTTTGTAACAGCCAAAACGAATCGAGATAGATATAGACAAATGTATACATAAATGATCAGGGTGAAAAAAGAAATCGATTAAGCCATGTCTGTCTGTCCGTCCGTCCGTCCGTCTGTCCGTCTGTCCGTCTGTCCGTCTGTCCGTGTACACGATAACTCGAGCAAAAATTGAGATATCTTAACGAAATTTGGTATGAAGGTTTCCCTTAATCCAAGGTAGGTTGGTATTGAAAATGGGCGAAATCGGACTTTAACCACGCCCACTTCCCATATAACGGTAATTTCCAGAAATACGAAAACTGCGATATTTTAGTAACTACTAAAGATAATTCACTCAAAATTGATATTTATAATAAGTTTTAGACGAAAAATAAGAATATTATAAATTTTTGGAAAATGGGCGTAGCCACGCCCACTTATGGTTATATGTGTATATCTTGGTAACCGCTGCACCAATTTCTTCCAAACTTGGCACAGTTGTTGGCCTTCGCACAACATACTAAATGGCCGAAAATTTTTAAAATCGCTCAATAACCACGCCTACTTCCCATATAACGGTAATTTTCAGAAATACGAAAACTGCGATATTTTAGTAACTACTGGAGATTATTCGCTCAAAATTGATATTTACAATAATTTTTCGACGAAAAATAAGAATATTATAAATTTTTGGAAAATGGGCGTAGCCACGCCCACTTATGGTTACATGTGTATATCTTGGTAACCGCTGCACCAATTTCTTCCAAACTTGGCACAGTTGTTGGCCCTGGTACAGCATAAAAAATCGCCGAAACTTTTTAAAATCGGACAATAACCACGCCCACATCCCATATAACGGTAATTTAGAGAAATACAAAATCTTCGATAAATCATTAAATATTGAAGCTTATTTATTCAAAATTGATGCTTTCAACAATTCTTTACCAAGAAATACGTTTATGGTAAAATTTTGGAAAATGGGCGTGGCACCGCCCACTTATGATCACATGTAAGTATATCGGTAACCGTTCTACCAATTTGTACCAAACTCGGTATGGTTATTGTACTTGCCACGTGTAAGCAAAACGTTGAAAATTATTAAAATCGGACTAAAATAACGGCCGATTCTCATATAACGGTAAATTTAAGAAATGCTTGAAACTTCAATATTTCGAAATTGAAGGACGCTAATTTACTCAAAATTGATACACCCCGGCTTACCATCTAGCGGAAGGTTTCGGAAGGGTGAAAAAACATATATTTAATACTTGCGCCGGGTATTTAATGTTCGGCTCCGCCCGAATTTAGACTTTCTTACTTGTTATATATGTAGGAGTATGTACATATAATAAAACTTTCGCTATCACAAAAATTAAAAGGAATTACAATCGCCCGTAGAATATAAATTTCCTTAATGTATTCTTGAATACATATTGCTTTTGTGCCGGATGCGAATGAAATGCGAGCGATGCTCGACGGTTGTACGTAAAAAGCAAGTTCCCAAACCTCGAGAGCGAAATACACCGCCAAGCGGTTTGTCAAACATGACGAAATTTCACTTTAGCTTAAATGTTTTTAGTGATTTATGGAGGTACTTGAAGGTTTAACAAGTCTTTTGTGAGAAATTTGAACAAAAATCAAGATTATTTGATTTTATGACCGTCTGTGTTGTGTACGGTAAAATCGCCTAACTTTTCACCAAGTGAGGATGTAAGAGAGGAAATTGTAAGAAAACCAAATTTGTTTACATTATGAACCCGAAGAAAAGTAAAATTCTCCGCTTGAACGAGTCATGTTTGTCTGGCGTATGTCGATATGGGAAAAGTAAATTTGGAGTATGTTTGACAAGCCGCTTGTGTGGTGCATTTCGCTGTTCACATGCCTCCTCCTTTGAGGAGACCCTCTTTCGCGTGTAGGTCTGCTGGGTAAACACTAGGGTGATTGACCCAGTTTTTCCAAACTTTTTATGGCAGATATTCGGAGGTTTGCCATTGTCTGCCAATGCAGCAGGTACCTATAAACACTCGGCTACGGCAGCACGAGCACTAGTCAAATAAGAAAAAAGTAAGAAAAAATAAAGTACTAAAAAAAACGTTAAAATAAGATCAATGGGGATTTTTTTCTGTCTTACTTTTGATCTAAGAAAAACCTTCAACTTATTTTGACTTT